GTTGATGTTGCATGAAAGTTTGATACTCATTGCCTTTAGTCCCTTATACAATTTATGGCCTGCAAAGTCATCATTTAAACTCCATCAAAGTATAATTAGTTTTAAAAGAGCATAGTAATATGCTAATTTTAACTACTAATCAGCCACCTCAAGAATTTTTCGTTATGTATTTCGTAAAGGACATGGGACACTGTGGCTGTGAGGGGAGTGTATTGTCAAGGTGCAAATCTTGGTTGTAGTTCATGTGGTGGTAGATAGAGGCGGTCTCTGACGTCCCTTCTCCTTTTCAGAGAGCGGTCCCTGTCTCTTCATGGAGATCTATCTCAACTTATTTCCTTTCTGGGACTTCGGTCTCTCTTCTTCTTCTCCTTCTCCTTGTGTGTGGATGTGCTCCCTACCTTGGAGAGGAGTATTTCCTCCCCGTTGATGTACTTTTCTGCCTTAGCGAGGATTTCTGCCATACTGGCTTGTGGGTTTTTAGAGATAGAGAACATCAGGTCCTTTAATTGGATTCCCAACCCAGTAATGAAGGCAGTGATGGTGAATTTCTCATTATGGACATCCACTTTCAGAGATTCTGAGTTGAACTTTTCAACATAGCTCTGTAGGTTCTCATTGAGTCCCTGTTTCATGTTTAACAGATAATAACTCAGTTTTCGATAAGTCCACGCTCCTATGAAGTACGATACAAAGGTGATGGAGAACCCTTTAAAGGATGAGAGGGATGTTGGGGCCAGCCTGTTGAACCATGCTAGGGCTAAAACTTTCAAAGTGATGGCAAAGGCCCGACTTCGTACTGGGTCATGGTACCCATGTAGCTCCATTTAATTCTTGTAGGTATTGAGGTGGTCTATGGGATCTTTTGTCCCATCGAAGGCCTCCATTTAGGGCATTATGAATTTAGGTGGAAGCGAAAAGTGCAGCATCTGTGCGGTAAATGGGGACTTAGTCTGTTGAACCAGGGCATCCACAGTCACTGAAGTTTTACTTTTAACAGTCTCTTTCATGTGGCTGAGCTCCTATTGAATGTCTTTGAAGCATTGTTCCCAATATTGTTCTTTCCTTTCCTGTTGAAACAAAGAAAATTCATTATTATGAGCTTCCCTATTTTAAATCTGCACTTCTTTGTCGTCCTAATTCCTATGAATTTGACGATGAACATTGCCCATAGTTTGGCTGCACTCATCTCCCTCGGTCATGTCTTTCAGGGGGTTGTTGTGTTGTAGTTCCCTCTAAGGGGGATCGCCTTGGGCTAACTGCACTCTTTGTGGATGCTGAAGGATATTCAGCAACTCCTCATTATGTTGGAAGAGACGTTGATTGGGTAGGAGAAGGGCCTCCAGTTTGTTGTTAGGTGTGGGATTCACTATGGGGGGATCGACTTCAGGTGTAGGCAAGAAATCATGGGGATTTTCTTGTTGCCTTCCATTGGTAGCTTCTTGTTGGTTCTGTAATTGAGGAAGATCCGTTTGTCCTCTACTCATGTTGCGTGTAGAAACCATTAATCACTGAAGAAAATCAGAATATTTTTTCCCGAAAAACAGTCTTTCCCACAGACGGTGCCAACTGATGATGTTATTAACGCGACTGGACAGAGGTATGAATATAAGATGCACTGAACAATTCAGTCTGAGCTCCAATGCTTGAAGGAATAGGATTTTTTTTTTTTTTGTGATTAATGGATGATTATGCACAGTGTTTATCGTGGTTCACCAGCTCGAGAACTTGATTAATCCACTCTTAAGGGAGTCTCCTACTCCTAAGTCTATTAATAGCTGTGTGTGGTTTACAGAGAATATTTTGTAAGGCTCCAATGGTTATATCACTCTCGAGGGTCTTGCCTCCTATTTATAGTTATTCCTGGGCTTTGTTTGATCTAGGGCGAGATCCTCGCCCTTCCCTTGTAACAGTTGTCCCTCGTTGTGCAACAACACTTGCGCCTATTGGGTGATTGACGCCAAGAAAAAAAGAGGACTTAGTGGGATCCAACTGTCCTTTGCACAAATTTTCTTGAGATTTTGACATAGGGAGTTGAGGTCTGAATCGAGGTCTACGAATAATTTTCATGAGTTGAGCTCCCGAACTAGGTAGCATAACCTTAGTTACAGAGCTCATTCTTAGATATTTTGTGGTACCATCAGATACCACTTGACCAACACGGGTTGATGGTTTTTTAATAGATCTTTGTAATAAAGAATATGCGTAAAATCGAATTCTTCTTTTCTTCATATAATTAAGTGCTACATTAGTCTTTTGTTTTGGGACTAAATTGTTGACTCTACCTTTGCTGACATAGTTTTGTCAATGATTTCACCAAATTTTGAAAAATAATAATGTGATCCACTGATTCAGAACATTTTTTCGAATAGTTGTGGAGGCGGTGCAACGTCTATTTTAGAAATAATGGGTTTCAATATTTATTTCTTTTTGTTGGGATCAAGATTTTGTTAAGTTGGAGAAAGAGAGACAGAAAATCCCTACCGATGTCATGGTGTGCTTTAAGTTCCGATTAAGCTATGTGATAAGTGGACTGAATCGGTTAGACAATTCAGGTGGGGTGACCCTTCTGATGAGAGCAGAACTCGTGGGTTGAGCTTGGAGAAGTTCACCAAGTTTGAACTGAGTTGGGGTCTCGGTTTTGTGGGAATTCCATTGCTTTGATCTGGCTACATTGGCAAAGCACAGATTGCGTTTGGTCACTCAGCACGTAATTTACTGGGAACGTGCCATGGGGGCAGTGCCGGCCCAACCTTTAGGCCACTTAGGCCATTGCCTAGGTTCCAAATTACAAAAAAAATTTAGGGCCCAAAAATAAAATAAATAATAATATATAATTAAAATTTTAGAATATAATTTAAATACTCATTAAATTTTAATTAATGAATTAATAGTGAGTGCTAAATTTAAGCAAAATTCACTATTTATCTAATATATTTGGTCCTCAAATTAATTGCAAATAGCATTATTGTAAAATTTTTAAAACCTCTTTCAAAAAAATTTAGGACCTTAAAGTTCAACTTATTTTTTTATCTCACCCAATATTTATATTATATATATTATCACTTTACAGTCTTTTTATTAAAATTGATTGTTTATCGTATAATAGGTATGAATCATAATTTTATATTTGTATAATTTAAATTTTAGTTCATTTTTTAATAACTTTATTTATAATGCACAAGATGACTATAAAATAGAGTTAGTAGAGTAATGCAGTAACTATCTCAAATTAATCAACCATTGTTATCTTACTAAATTTTTTTATTTAAAAATAGCGTTTTTCTCTGTGATCTCTAACAATATCTCATTTATTTTAGAACTACTCAACTTGTATAAATTGCTATTTTTATATAAATTTAGAAAAAAAAATTATTTTACTAGTCAACCTATTTTTCAATTATGTTTCTCTTTTATCTTAAATAAATAGTATGTATCATTGTATTTGATCTCCGTATTTGACTTCGATTAACACAATTTTTATTTATAAAATTTGAATTAGTATTTTATATCTCATAAGACAAAACAAATAATTTATAAATAAACATATTTTAATAAATATTTAATATTATTATTATTACTGAACAAATATTTATAAAGTCTCGTATATCATTTTTGCCCAGAGCCCCAAATTAGGTTCGTCCGGCCCCTGCATGAAGGTCACATACAACCCTCCTATTAGGGACTTCATGTCAAGACCACCTCTAGTATTCTAAAAGGGAGGGAAATTCTAAAACAGGGTTTTGGGCAGCATTGGACAAAGAGGGATTTCTGGAAGCATAAATGGATTGTATTTTTGAATATCTAATATCCTTGCACCCAACTAGAAGTGGAGCTGAAGATTAAGAGAGGGTAGTCCATGGACTGGGACAGTCATGTCAATAACCCGACCATTAGAGAAGACATATGGGGATGTAATTTGAACTCGGAAGTTCTAAACAGAGCTCATATTCATGGACAGTGGCACCACCCCTTTGGCCCGGCCAACATTTATCAAAAAAAAAGACACTAGCACTTGGACTGAAATCCTGGGATTCCCACCTCTGAGAGAGAGAGAGGAGTTATTGAACTGCCTTGGTCAGTTCTGGGTAGCAGGTCAGGTCGTTGTAGAAGTGCAGTTAGGGTACAACTCAGGCGGATTAGATAGATTGGACAATCAACCCTAGTCTAACTCTAAGTATATAATCTTCAACTCTAATTTCAATCCTAACCCTACCTCGAGTTGGGAAACTCAAGCTGACCACTGCACAAGTTTAATTCAGACGGGCTCAAGTTGATGATTTCGGGTTACTTTACAGATTCAATTTAGGTTGAGCCCAAAATAGACTTGTTGTTGTAAACCTAATATATATATTACATAATATTCACCTAAATTAACAACCAATAACTTCAATTAAGTTTTTATCAAAAGAGGTTAAGAGAACGAGAGAGATAGAAAACGATAGAACAAAAATGAAAAATAAGTGTTAATATTTTATATATATAATTTTTTTTTTAATTTGACGGGTTCAAGTTAAACTCGGGTTCACGAGGCCTTAACCCGAGCCCAATCCAAATTAAATTCGGATTGGNAAAAATGAAAAATAAGTGTTAATATTTTATATATATAATTTTTTTTTTAATTTGACGAGTTCAGGTTAAACTCGGGTTCACGAGGCCTTAACCCGAGCCCAATCCAAATTAAATTCGGATTGAATTTTTTGACCCAAGTCTAACCCAAATACTAAAAATTCTTGTCCAAACCCTAATTTTTTCGGATTAGACTTAGATTGAAATCGGATTGCCCAAACCAAAGTTGCACCCCGAACTTGAACAGCCATTCAGACTGGGTGCCCTGTCTTCAGTTCTTATCAATTATCATCATTTCCTTCTCTCTTTGTCCAAAAAAAAAATGATTAAAATTTATTAGAAACATAAAGATAATAACGTCCTGCATCAGAATCAGAAAAGGGAACAAAAATTAACCATCGGCATCAGAATGATAAACATAAACCTATCAAGACCGCATATTCCTCTATTCATTTATCAATCATATCTTTCATTTTTTATTTTTCTTGCTGTGAATTTATCATATATATCACTGGCACAACAAACCCATAATCCAATATCTTCCAACTAAGAATTCCAAACACCAATTTTCTATTGAATTTGAAAAATTCTTCATAAATCAACCAATGTACCAAAAGCTATAGCCAGAGATTAAAGTACCAGCCAACAATCAAAAACAAAGAAGAACAACAGAGGAAGAGACCATAAACCCATAAATCAAGATCAAGAACCCAAAATGCAAAGCCCAGTTCCTCTTGAACTTACCAAAGTAACTCTCAGGAGGCTCTTGATAATGTATCTCAAACTCATCCTCCAAAACCTCATCACTACCACCGCCGCCGCCGCCGCCGCCACTCATTCTCATCTTGATCTGCCTCAGCCTCTCAGTGGCCAACCCAAGAGTCAACTTGTGGCACCTCCTCTGGTACTTGAACCCATTGATACACCTAAGGGTCTGAGCCACTGAGACATAGAACATGAGGTGGGCTAGAGAGAGAAGCCCAATGGGTACCCAACAATGGCGGCACTGGAGGCGCGTGGACTGGGATTGGGCCAAGAATATTAGCCCTAAAAAGAGGAAGAAGAACTGGAAGAGCTTCCATAACTCCTTTTTCTGTTGATCTACGGCCCGTTTCTTCTCGAGGGTCTTCTCGAAATGGAGTTGGATTATGGTGTTGAGGGCTTGAAGGGCAGTCTCTTTTGGGATCACATTGTGGTGGGCGGTGGTGGTCTCGTAGTCCGCCATTGGAAGGTGAGCAAGGAACGTGATGAAATTGTGCGTTGCTGGCGAAAGAGAGACCAAGGGTTTTGGGGTGGGGTATCAATTCTCGAGTATCGAGATATTTGTTTTTTATGTGGACTATTTTATTGTATTCTAACGGTAGGAATATGCGGAGGCAGAATAAACTGAGAAGTTGGACGTTGTATTCTAATTGCAACTCGAGAGTTACGTGTTGGAAAGCTGAAAATTGAAAATGAGAAGTTGAGGGTTGAATTCGTAGATTATTTGGTATTTATTAAAATTTAAGTATTGAAATTGATACTTAAGTATTGAAATTGATAGACTGTTTGATATCTATTAAAATTTAAATATTGAATTAAATCAAATTATTTGGTAAGTACATAGAATTAACGTCTGAATATAAATTAATTTTTAGTTTTATCATTTTCTTATTAAATTTAAAAATATTTATAAAATATATTTTTATTTAATAAAAAATGACAATATATCAAACTAATTTAATTCTTAACATAAATCATAATTACTATTATCATATTATAGCCTACATTTAACAAACATGAAAATAAAATTATTTAAGTTAAATTAATCACTTATAGCTACCAATTGTCATAAATTTTAAAAATTACAATTATAATACAAATGAAGAGTTTAATTGTCGTGCAATGTGTTTACACAAATTGAGTATAAAAATTTGATCAGCTTGTGTCCTTCCTCATCCAACTTCCAAGCTAGTTAAAGTATGCAAATTTTGACAAGAATTGCCATATGCAGCATTGACATCACTAAACTGATCCAAAAAAATATTTGTGATACTAGTTCGTCAGATAAAATTTTGTATGCTTATACACGTAATTACAATATTTCTTTGTACAGCAAAAGTATATGATGATATCTTTTTTAGTATCGAAAAACGAACTTTCAATACTTCAAAAGCACATGCAATCACATTTCTTAATTTTACATGTACTTGGTTGAATAACAATTATTTTGTTCTTGGACGAAGAATTTGAAAATCAAACAACCAATATTGCACATTATGATAAGGTGACATAAATCTACAGGTATGTGTATATGTCGCATCACATAAAAAATATTTATCTACATGAATAATATAAAATAAATTATCTACATAAATATTTTGTAACATTAATTAAATATTTTTATCTAACTTGAAGGAAGAATTGAAAAATTATTAGCTGGATCACTCATAGTTTTTTTTAGAACTCTTGAGTCATGTGCTACCCTTTCCCAACCTGCCCATACAAATGTGAACACAAGGTCAAAATTACATATGTCAAATACAGTTTGAATACATTCTCCATTGCCTCTTCCCTTGTATGGAACTTGTTTGTCTGGTGGTATAATAGCAAAAATAACAGTTCCATCAAGTGCACCCACTAGACCCTTTCAAAAATAAATATGTTAGTATAAATGTGAGAATTTAAAGCTATAAATCATTACATACCCTATGAATTTAAAACAAAACAAAAAAATTTCTTAAATATTCTTCTGAGCCGACAGTGATGTCTTATGTGATTAACTGAATTCGTAGTTATTGGAACAATCATCTTTTTTTGAAAATGAAGCATAACATATAATATTTCATGGAAGTTTTTATGTATTGTTCGTGTTGAATGATTGAATCTTCGTTTCACAGAACGATTTAGTGTGTTATGACTCAATGTTATGAAAAATATTGACATCTTCTCTTCTATGAATACACAACGACTATCTTCAAGTCACTTTCTATTTCAAAAATGACCACGTAAACTTATAAAAGCTTTTTTTTTTTCATCTTTAACATCTCTTGACAATGACTTGGATTTTCATTAAGTATTTCATTTAAATATCCAGACCCATGAAACAAACCATCAGTGTTTGGCCTCCGTCAAACACTTTTTTTCCTCAATACTTTGAATATCAAAGAAGTTATAACAACTTTCAATGCACGCTTTTGTTTTTCAGACAACATGTTGTTGGACAATATTAATAAAATCTAATTAGTGACCATTTAACTACGTATGTCAGCTTCCAAAATAATTAACATTCAAAAATCACTACAAATAATTTCAACAATAACAATGTCATCAATGCATGATATACTTATTGAAACTATTGCAAAAATTATAAAAAAAATAAATAAATTTAAACAATCTGTCACATTTAAAATTCTTATAAATTCTTCCTATAAAAATAATACTCATAACTTCTAGTAATTCCTAAAATTCAAAGTAACTTTAATTTCTTTCCATTCATTTTATCTATGTCTTTCTAACTACTTCTGGTTTTTGACGTAATAACAAACACTGCTTCCTATGTATTTTAGTCTCACAAAAAACACTACACGCAATAGAATATAATGGATCACTCCTTTCAAAAAGTTGCATCTTATCCAAAATACGATTGCATCCTTCTATATTTGGTCCGTCAGCATTTTGTAATGTCTTAAGAGCTTCGAATAGTTGTTCATCAAGGTCACTATGTTTACTTTTCTTTTAACATTTATTGTCTTGTTTTTCCACATCCTTTGGTTAAGAAGGTGTCTCAACAGATTTAAAGTCAAGATTAATCAAATGATTGTGACTACGAGCCAGTGCCAGGCCTATCACAAGGCCAACAAAGCCTAGACTTTAGGCCCCATATTTCAAGAAGGCTCCAAAATTTTTAAGTACATAGTTAGTACAAATCAATTTTTTTAAATCCATAAGATTTTAGGCCTTAAAAAGTCCTATGAAAATTTAAACTCAATCAAAAATAATTTTGAGTAGTTTGGGCTCATAAACCCAACCCATAAATATTAAAATAAATATTTAAAAAAAAAAGAGAAAAAGCTAAGGGTTAAAAAATAATTTTAACTAGTCAACCAAAATACACCATTCATTTGTAATCATTCTCTCTCTATAGTAAACTAATGTTTTCCCTGTCTAGTAAACACAAATTCTTTTTTTTTTTTTTGTGCTACAAATTTTTTTTATTACTATTACAAAAAATAAACTAATTTTTTTTTATTAAACTATAAAAATTAAAATTAGTAGATTATGATTGTTTAAAATTAAAATTGATAAAATCTTCCCTAAAATCGATTATCGCAATAAAAATTAGACTACTTTTAATCTAAAAATAATAATTTTTAAATAAAAAATTATTAATATTAAAAATAAAAAGCCTCATTTGTAGTAGTCGCTTTAGATCTCAAATAGTCTTGGGTCGTCCCTACTACGAGACGACCATATCCGTAGGCAACCCTTCCTTCAATGGACCCTATGAATTTTTTCCAGTTGCTCTAAAACCATCAAACTAAACTTTTAAGCAGGAATCATCCAAAGCATAAAAGCCCACACCACATGGATTCCCACGAAAAAGGGTGCATAGCGGGAAGAGAATGTGCATAGAGAATAAAAATGTCATTGATTCAAAAGCTATTCACTGGATATGAAAGATATCCCCAAAGAGGATTGATGCCGAGACTAGATTCGAAACTAGGAAATGTTGAAGGTGCTTTGATGGAATTAGCGGTCCAGGCCCAATTGAATCAATAGATGCGGGATTATCGGTCTTAGGAAAAGTAGTGGGCAAATCCCCTGGTCCAAAAGCGAATGGCTTGTTGGCAAGTGGAAGCTAGAGGTGGGTGTTGTAGCAAAACTGATTGCAAAATAGGGGAAATCAGCCACATTAAAATGACACTCTGGGGAGGTCTATTTGATATCCAAAAATTGCTTAGTAACAGTCGGACAAGTGGAGAATATTGGGGTGAACCAGACTAGTTTGGGTAGAGTCGGCACAAGTGTAGGCAGGGGCAGGGTTTGAGACAGATTATAGATAATAAAGATGGGAATCACTGTTCATTATAGCAAAATTGATTTGCATCTTGATTAGTCACCAACATAAAAATATGAAAAAGCTCATGAATTATTTGTGTTATAGTTCTATAAGAATAATTAACAATGAATAAAGTAATACCTTTATATACTTCTCCCATTGTATTGAACCCCAATTTACAATATTTGTTTATGGATAGTAACCATTTCCAGTTTTTGATCATATTCCATATTTTGTTCTTAGATATTCCCACTGATTCTTTAATTGTTTCTACGAGAAGTCAACATTCTTCTATTCTTTTAAAGTTACCCTCATACAATTTCAAGATTCTTTTTTCTGGCTACCTCCATTTCTTCCTTTATCAGATGATTCTTGCATACACAAAATCTATAAAGATTTTAAGAAAATCTGGATCCTTCCAATTTGCTCTAGCACCATCACTAGAAGTTATCCCTACATAACCATTTTTTAACAGAATATCAATATATATGGTATTGTTTAACATTGTTAAATTATTATCATGACCCACTGGAATAGTTAACATAATACAAAAAAAAAATTGATGAGTACAATAATTGAAGAACACAAGGCAATTAACCAATAACCAAAAAGAAAACATAACAACAACAAATAAATAATCAAATACCAATAAGTGAACAATAACATCTGATCAAAAAATAATATTTGAATAAACTAATAAGTGAATAATAATATCTGATAAAAAAATAACTAATAAATAATCGAATCACAATAAGTGAACAATAATAAATTGAATAACACAATAACTGAACTATAAAATCTGATAAAAAAAACCAACAAATAAATAATCGAATCACAATAAGTGAACAATAACAAATTAAATAACATAATAAGTGAACAATAACATCTAACCATAAAAATAACATCTGAATACCATAATAAGTGAACAATAATATTTGATAACAAAATAATAATAATAACTAATAAATAATCAAATAACAATAAGTGAACAATAATAAATTAAATAACACAATAACTGAGCAATAACATCTAATCAAAAAAAAAAAGGAACAATGACGAGTAAATAATCGATTCATAATAAGTGAACAATAACAAATTAAATTACACATTAAGTGAACAATAACATCTAATAAAAAAAAGAACAATAACTAATAAATAATCGGATAACAATAATTGAACAATAATAAATTAAACAACACAATAACTATACAATAACATCTAATTAAAAATAAATAAATGAATGAATAAATAATTAA